TAATCTAGAGGATAATAATATTAAATACCGTTCACCTTTAAACCCTGGAAGATTTAGCCTTAAAATGCTTCAGTAACTTCAGTCTTTTGTAATGCGATGCATTTATTCATTCTCTCAGAATTATTTTTTTTTTCTATTGAACTAAGGGGTCAACCCCGGCTCCTGAAAAACAACCTCGCAACATAATCCCCCATTTACCAAATTTAAACGTGGCAAAACATACTAAGACAAGCACTCTTCTCTTGGCAAAAACGAAAGCCAGGCTTGTCCATCAAATTCACAGTTAGAGAATTTGATGGAGAATTTAATGGGTCACTCCAGAGAATGTCTATCCGCCGCTCTGTAATCCAATGGTAAATGGTAAATGGCATGTACTTATATAGCGCCTTTTTTCAAGTCAGGAGACTTGACCAAAGCGCTTTACACTACATTCATTCACCCATTCACGCACACACTGATGGTGGCAAGCTACATTGTAGCCACAGCAGCCCTGGGGCTCACTGACAGAAGCAGGGCTGCCGTAAACTGGCGCCACCGGGCCCTCTGCATTGTCTACTGACCACCATCAGTAGACAATGCAGGTGAAGTGTCTTGCCCAAGGACACAACGACAATGAAAGTCAGAGACGGGGCTTGAACCGTCAACCCTTCGATTTCAGGGCAAACTCCTACACCCAACGCCACTGTCGCCCAATGGTAGCTTGCTTTACACCACTGCATCCAACACTTTGCTTCTTGGCCATGGAAACCCATTACATGAAACTCCCCAAACAGTAATCTATTTTTGTGTGTGTTTTGTGCGCCAATGCCATTTTTTGGCCTCGATACAGATACCCGATACCTGGCTGTGCAATATTGGCCGATACCGATACCACCAATTTATTGCTGGATCTGGGCCCTGTCCGATACTGGTATCGGTGCAACATTGTTTTTTTTTTTTAAGGTCAGAGCTTGGTCTAGCACCTATAACCTAAACAAAAAGGGGAAAAAAACCATAATGGTTATGAAAGCGGCTGGCTTGCTTAAGTGGTAAGTCACACGTCCTGCTAACAGGAGGAGGCCTGGGTTCGTGTCCCAGCTGGGGGGGATAAGCTACTAGTGAAGGTCCTTCACGCTAATCCCTGGTTTGGGGAGTGGTGGCCTAGAGGTCAGGGCCACCACAAACCCTTAACCCCCACACTGCTCCCTGGGCGCTGCACAATGGCAGCTCACTGCTCCCCAAGGGGATGAATTAAATGCAAAGAGTTAATTTTGTTGCTCTTTACTTGTGACAGTGTAATCACAATAAAAAAAATGCTTTTTTAAACAAACAATAATAATAATAAATAACCATCTATTACCATGTAAAAAATGTAAAAATATTGAAATTTCCTGCAACTAAATAGAAGAAAAACTGTAATTATGAATGATGTTTTGATTAAATTGCAGGAACACGATGGTAAAGGGGTAAATCTAAGCACAACAAGTTGTTAAACATTTCCAACTGGATACATTTTTATCCAGTTGGATAAAACTGGAACCTCATAACATTTTCATAATAAAATGACATTGAAATATATATATTTTTTATTTGTGACACCAGCAGCTCAGTGTTTATAGCTAATGTTCAAATTAAGAATTAACTGTAGTGGAATCAAAATAAACACAAATCCAATAATCATATTCCATTTGTTGTGTCTTCTGTAAAAACTATAGTGTTCATGGTGTGGACTTTATAACTAAAAATAAGGGCAGCAGTTTTCAGTTTTGGAACACAAATTGAAGAAGAGCAAGAGGTAAAAAAGAAGAAGCTTTTCTCTCTATAATGATATGACCTAAGCCAGCATAAGTAGCTCTACCAGATATTCTGACTGCCTGCGGTTCCACTTATCTGACCTGCAATGAGAAAAACTCCAATATACTTTTAGACTCCAAGATGGACTTGTACTCATGTCTGAGCTTGTTGCCCTTTGTGTGAATCTACATAACCCACTAATGAGTCACACACTTCATATTCCTCATCACATCTGGCTTCTAATGGACCAGCACACACACATACAGCCATGAAAGCCGGCTGACACATCACAACTCGATTACTTCTTCCCCAAATGCATTTGCACATGACACACACCATTATTTTGTGGCTTTGAATACACATAATGGCCCTTCTAAGTGCAAAGCTGGCAAGTTGGAGACGGTGAATTTACAGTGAAGAGCCTCTTCACCTTGCATTACGAAGGACACAACCACAGGCAAATTGACCACAAGTATTTACACTCAATTTAGTTACATGTTTTTTTCCCGGTGTATTAGGGTCATTAATGTGTATTTCTGCAAGCTAGGGGCAACTCTGACAGGCAGTGTTGAGTAACATTTGGGGGGTTTTCTCCTCTCCTATTTCAATCCCATGGTCTTTTCAATAGCGAATTTTCTACAGCCCTGAATTTAGCATTTGGCCAACATCATTATTTCTTTTCATTTTTAAGCAACACAGTGCATTGCAAAAGACATATGCAATGCAAAAGTATTCTCACCAATGAAATTTTGCTCGACACTACAAACACACATTTTTAAACATTTTATTTCAGTCTTTATGCTTTTAATCACACAATGTAGACTGTATTTATTAAAGTCATACGGAAGCAGCTGTTCCAACCGTTGCATTTCCGAATTCTCCCGAGTGGTGCCCGACTTTACATGAGTGAATAAAGTGAATGTGATTGGTCGATTATCAAGGGGGTGGGATTGTTGTGGCGGAAGGTTCGCCAGCATGTTTGGTTGTGGACGGTTTGTCGGAAGCATCTTGTTAACCAGTTAGCAACTTAGTGCTAGTAGGTTCCCAATGGGAAATTACATTGGGATCAACTAGCACTAAATTGGTGACTTAGAAACGGCACTGTCAAGGAAACATGCAAGAGGAGGAGAGTTTTGTGTCGGAGGTCGTGGATGAGTCTCCTCCGTCATCCATTTTTTATTTAGAGGAGGAAAGCGGGGACGAAGATGTTGTTGAAGAGGACGCCAGGGCGGCAGAAGCTTGGTTTGGTGTAGAAGGCTTACAGCTGTACATGTTTGAGCCCTTGCCTCGCAACGCTGCCAGTTCTGTTAGATCTACGCCTGCTGAAGGCACAGACGTCCATCCCCGTGAACACTGGGACGGAACTCAATGGGAAAGGAAATTATTCTTATTACTTATTTTAACCGTTGCGTGTATTGGCTGCGAAATATGAATCAAGAGGCTATGACCGAAAAAAATTGATTGCCAGATGACCGTTGATATATGACTGGTCAAATTTAGGTGTACAAGTTGACATAAAACTAACTAACGTCCTAACGTATGTAAGTTAATAGGTATTGTGGAGGACTTTTTCAAAAAAAATGTGAGTGCGAGGGCGTGCACGAGCCCATTTCTCCTGATGCAGGCCCTGTTTAAAATATGGTGTTCTCAAAACTTATTCAAGCTTACTGCGTCCACACACAGGTCACCTTACTGGTCACCTTACTCTTCCTACTCTTCCTGCGGCATCTTTGATATTAGTTGACGCTGTCAGGTAGCGGCAGCCTATGGCGACAGCAGGCCGCTGAGACAGCAAATCCCATAATGCTTTCAGAGGAGAGCTCTGCACAAAGCATTCTGGGATATATCTGCCTCTTCTGAGGCCTTTCTTTTTTTCTCATACACTACGTCAATGGCGTGACTATCGGTAAGCAGAGACAGCAGTTGCTTAGGGGCCCCCGACCTCTTAGGGGCCCCGTCACTGACACCTGGTTGGCCCCGTTTGTAATTGTGGACTAGGAGGTCTCTTTGCAGAAGTAATGGTGCGAAAAATTCCTGATACTAGATTGAGTCACCGGACCTTATTTATACGCCAACACATGCCAGATTCCAACATGATGTTGAGCCGTTTAAAAGCGACACCAATAGCAAAGCAGACAGTGGTACTTTTAATTACTATGTTAATAGCTGTGTATGGTTCATTAGACGGTTGGTAAAAATACACTCACATAATATGTTTCAAACCGCAATAAAGATCTTAAAAGAACAATGATTTGAGTATTTGTTGGGAGGGGTGTTGTACTTCATATAGGGCCCACCCAGATAATGTTGCATACGGGCTTATTGTTGTGTCGTTGCGCACTACGTAGACACTTTTTCTCTTACGACCCTCGGCCATTTTCAAAGAACCGCGGTGAGAAAGGTGAGCTTCAGTGACTGTCTGAAACCGTAGCTCATTACACATATATAGCTGAAAGTGCACATGTGCGGAAAAACATAGCTAACGGGGCAAGCACGTAGGACGGCCTTACAAACACATATCACCAGACTGATTGGCAATTAGGAGGACCACTTATTTAGATGATCTGCCCGGAAATAAAAGATTGTCCTCTATACCTTTAAGGTGAGTTAATCTAATAGTTTTCCGGCAGACGCCTCCGGCCGCAGGTTCATTTAGATCAGTTTCATACATGAATAGCTTTTTAATCACTGTGCAAGTGGAAATATTTTTCATCTTTCTTCCCCCACATTTTAAAGAAGGCACAAGTACAGCCGTACTCTGACGGAAAAAGTTTTTTACTTGTTTTTCAAGTTATCAACATGTCGTAGGAGGACAGATATTTCTGCAGCAGATCTCAGCAGCTTTTTAAACAGCTAAAAACTCTAGTAATATCTCACAGGGATAGTTTCTGAATGTTTTATATAAAAACAAAAAAAAAAGTAGGAGTATGAAATAAATGACACTTTAATGTAATCTGAACAGAGATACACTGATCTTTCAGTTTTTATAGGACTGCTACTATCAATGTGGGGCAGAAGTGGGTACAAAAGGATTAAAGGTGATAACTTTGGTTATTGAGGATATGAACATGTGTACTTAGTGTCATCTGCTGTTGTGTGAGTAAAAATGTGATGGATAAACAAAAGAAAAAAAAAAAAAACATTCTCAAGTAATAAGCTCTCTATTGTATGATTTGGCTTATGTGTGTGTGTGTCAGTGTGATTTACAATTTGAGTGCATTTCATACCGTGGCTTGTGTGCAGCTTTCCTGCAGGTCCCAGAGCAGTGCATGGTTATCAGCCAGTGAAATCACACGCTTGCCATCCCCCATGGGCTCCCATAGCACGCTGTAAATGCACAAGGACACACATGCAGCTTATAAACACCCAGAAGACCTGAGTCATGGTCAACAAGAGCACAGTTTGGGTCAAATTTACATTTAATTTAGAGGGTGCAACAGGATAAAGGACTTACTATGCTAAGTTAATGGCGTGGTATGCACACAGTGATGCTGCATGCACATTCATAATTTCTTAATTACACAACCTGCAATCAAATCTTTTAAGTGCAATAAGCTGCATTTAAAGAAAATATGTGAGTGGGGGTTTAATGCTCTATGAAAATAGAAACAAATGAAAGAAAAGCTCCAAAATAAAAGTTTTCAGTAAAATCAGATTTTTTTAGTTGCATTGAATTTAGTTTCAGACCTTGAAACAACTCTTTAGCATCTTTAAATATGCGGTTTATTCAGTTTATTTAAAATGTAAAAATATAAACTATGAAAAACACTAAGTAAAAAGAAAAGAAAATCAACTTGAGGAGTTCTGGAGCATAGTTATAGAAAAACAAAGTTTTTCTTCTTGAAAGAGTAATGCATGTATTTTTTTTCCTTCTGTTTAGCAGTTTCGGATTCATTTCTGCTCAAGGTATTTCTTACATCAAAAAGGACGTTTTACAGTAGGGGGAAATGAATGTGAGGTCTCCAAGAGCTACCATTTGACCACTTTTAAATACACTGCACACATGACATGGGTGGTATGGCCATACAGGTTTGTTTTGGGGGTTTTTTTTAACCGAAGTTTACACAAGATGCTGCAAAGTCTCCTCCACAGTTATGTTTCTACCGCCTCACCTACCACTCAAAGTTAGTAAATTACCAGTAATATGTCCTATGTTTTGATGACTTAAAAGTCTGTGTCATGACTATCTGATTATTAATTATATATTTGTCACAACTAACAAGAACTGCTGATTGATAGTAGCTTGTTTAATCACCATCATACCTCTAAACTAGTGACAGTTGATAGCCATGCCCTCTCTTTTCATATGCTGTTTGTGTAAAATGTATTTAAATAGAACAAAAGACTGGATTCTCCTCTTCCAGGAATAATATTTTCAGCAAAGGTTGCAGGAGTTTGTTTTCCTTTTTATTCCTTGCTAAAGAGGAGCCTATATGAGTCTGAAATGGGCTCTATGCACAACTCCACTGAACCGTCACCTGTGGAGCTGGTGGACAGTTGCTGCAAGTCGGCCTCATCAGATGGCCCCTCACACCGCGCCTGGTTCTGCTGGAGTTTTTTTTCCTGTTAAAAGGAAGTTTTCCTATCCACTGTTGTTACAAGCATGCATGATGTGAGGGATTGTTTTCGAGAGAATGAGTCGATGCAATCCACTGGTTTTCCTTAGACAGAAAACTTTGAACCAATCTAAATGTATGATCTGGTTGAATTGTCTTTGATAATGGCGTCGGATTCAATTTAGTTTATTAATATGGCACCAATTCACAACACATGTCATTTCGAGGCACTTTACAGTGCTGACATTGTGATGTGATGACATTTTCTACCTGATGAACTGATTAATCCAGGTGTCGTCATAGTTACCTAACTCAAGCACACCTGGATTACTCAGTTCATCCATTACAAAAACCACAGGAAACAAAAAAGCTGCCTTAAGTTAAGGAAGAAGTGGAGTTGTGTTGTTGTAAGGAGCCCGTTAGAAATCAACCTAATTTAGTCACAGCTCTGTCATATTTGGTCAACTTGTCCAAACACGGAACATAAATAAATGAAAATATGATAAGTTTCACTTGAATTATTTCTAAATTGAATTAATGACGAGAGATTTTTGACCATTTATCTTCATAATTCATGAGAAGTAAAGCGATATGTTGTGGTTTTATTATCTGGGAGAAAAAAGATAACAAACAGGAGGAAACATAATGGCAATGTTAAGGAATAACTAAAGGGAACTGAACCGAATCCGTCAATGACAAACGGCAAGGGATCTGCTGTGTGTGTGTATATATATATATATATATATATATATATATATATATATATATTTGTGCCCAGTCTACAGTATAATCCAGATCAGAATGTCACCTGCTGCAATCTTCACTAATTATTACACTATGAGGGAGAATTTCACAGCCAATAAAAGTGACTGTTATAAACGTGCTGAATGTGGTTAGGGCAGAATACTTATTGGCAAAACCTGCAGCCTGATTCTGTCAATCTAGCTCCACGAGAGAGGGACACATGGTTGCCTCACTGTAGCTAAAAAATAGCTTTTACCGCATACTTTACTTTGATCGCTCCCTGCATACAACCGTCTGCAGAGCATTGATTCTTTATTGCGTGCCTTGCGGAGCTGCAAGTCGTCGCTGTGCTCTACTTAAAGCATACATTATGAGCACCGGGCCACTTGCTGTGTTTTTCATTGCTCCCTTGTTGGGGACTGGATCACATTTGTACTTTTCTTCATTTCTCTTAGTTCAGATAGCTAAATAAAGACAGGAACAGTGACAAGAGGGAAGAATCCAACAGAGAAAGCAGCTATGCAGTCCTGCCATATGTTCATGATATCAGAGACCTTTAAATTAGCCCAAAAAAACAACTTTGGAAACTTTGTTTAAAAAGCTGTTGTGTTTTATTTTGATCTGATTAGATTTTTCTATCTTTAAAAGAGAATAATGATATAATCTTGATTAAATGAAGTGTAAATCTGGATTACCTGTAAGTTTGTATGTCTTACTCTGCCACAGTTAAAAAACCAAAGACATAAGATGTTTAATAAATGGTGCAATTTATTTAGGGGGTTAATCAATTAGACACTCCATTTTCTTTAACTCATTTGTCAACCTGAAGAAGCTGCAACAATGCTTATGTCTGAGAGACGGTGAGAGTGTTTGAAAGAGATAAAACAAATGACCAAGTTAGAGTTCTCTGTTGAACTGAATCCAAGTTTCAAATATAGATAGCGCCATTAGAAGAGGCGAAGCAGAACACTGGGGGGATTGGGAGCAGTAGAGGAGGGGCAAAGCAGCTGTGTTTATTAGGGCTGTAAATCCAAGGCTGCTGAGGGACGGCTTTTACTGCCCTCCTGAGGAGCAGACAGTCATGGACTCTGGATGTAAAATCACAAACATAAACACACCCAGCATGCAAACTTATTCTCCTTATGGGCTGCAGCACATTCCCTTCTATTCATTACCTGAGGACAAAGGAAAAGTTACAGCAAACGCTCATCCTCAAGATCAAACTGAAATACATTTTATTAACAAGAAGCCAACAAGAGTCATAACAAAGGAACCAGAACTTAATCTGCAGAAAACTGATGGGATCAAACTGTCAATTTTAGAGAAGTTTATTTTACAGGGTTTATACAGGAATTAGTTACTCTAATTTATCTTTATAAATATATATATATGAAATTAATGAAAAAATCCCCCAAAAAATAATGGATTGTAATTATTTTAAATGATCCGCGGAAACCCTGGATCATTTCCGTATGTTGTGCTGCTTTGAATTTAATCATCTCGCGCTTGCTCTCTACCATCTCCAAGGGACTCAGAGGGGAGC